TTTTTTTAATTATTACTTAACTTTTTTTTGGACCAGGGACTCAATTCCCTTTCTGTGTGGGGACAGTGCATCATCTGACCAGCAGTACCAGCCCAAAAAGCGACAGAGGACACTGGGACCAGGAGAACAACAGAGGCTAGCTACAGAGGTAAAAAAAACACACACGCACACACTCCAACAGACAAAATATGGCATATAGATTATAATTATTATAAATAAACAGATGGTTAAATACCAACAAGGAAAAAGAGTGAAAAGTGTTGTTTTCCCAAAAACGAATTCAAGATCCATAATGTTTGAGGTTGTTTAGTATGGGCGTTATATTGTAAATAATTATTCCATAAAATGTTTTGTTCATAATAAGCATTCTTGTAGTGACTCTGTAAATATATTATTTTGTGAATATAGTATTTGCCATTCAGAATATAGAAATTCACAACACATGACAAATAAAAGGAACTAATATCAGACCAGTACAGTAGCATAAACATAGCCACTGTATTAACATATTAAGCACTAGTTTGACCAACTAGCAGTCAGCCAAACAGTAAACTTAAGTCTACTTTTTAATTTAACTGACTAAAAAAGATAGGAACCGTCTAGAAGAAAATAATGGCATCACTAACTTTTAAGACTAGTCTAAGAAAACTGTCTAGCTGGCCTCCGTATTTAAAACGCATAGATCACAGTTATTAAACAGATGGGCCAAGTCATCTTCATGTACAGTACCAAAAAAGTGCTGATCAGTCACAAGTAGCATGATGATGTTTCTGTCATCCACACAAATGGGAAAATAATGAAGTACATAATATCCTTACATGTAGCAGAAAATAGGTGGTTTATTTATTGAAATTCTACTGTAGACTTTGTTTTGTTTAGGAAACCAATAGCAAGTTTAAGATCAGGAGAAGTAAACACTGTAAAGTACAATGAGGAATACTGGACTTTAAACTTTAGTAATAATATAATGTACATGTAATGTTCACTCAGAAAAATGTTTTACAGGTATGTGATACCATCCTGATTCATACCAAGGAGCGGTTCTCCTTCACCCAGCACCTCGTCAGTGCAACATTGCTGCATGGAGAGATGTTTCCACAACACAGTGTGAAGTTTCCTGAATCAGCACTTGAAACAACAGTGGAGGCATACCCCATGCTGAACAAGGCCAAGCTCAAAACAGAACTGTCCCTCATCTATGAGAACTATGAGTTTAAGGTTGGCAGTGGTGCAGTGCCTCTGTACCAGTTTTTCATTAAGAACAATCTTCAAAGTACTTTCACAGAGACTGTCAGTCTACTCAAGATCATAATCACCACGCCTATGACAACAGCAGAGTCAGAGAGGTGCTTTTCTACTTTGAAGAGGATCAAGACTTTCCTAAGAAATACAATGACCCAGGATCGCCTTAATGCTCTGGCAATGCTTTCTATTGAGAAGAAACTTGTCAGAGACATTCCTGACTTCAATAAGAAAGTCATTGAGAAGTTTGTCAATCAGAAGGAGAGAAGAGCAAAATTCCTGTACAAATAAGTCAAAAGAAAACATGCAGGGTTTTTTTTCACCACATTGATTTTCTTGTACATGGTTATCCTCAGATTTGTATCAGTCATGGAAGTATCCAAAATTTAACTGAGACTGGTAAATTAACTAAACGGGGATGATTTAACGAATAAACAGGCAACCAGATGTTCTTTAACTTTGTCTGCATTGCAATAAATCATATTGCAACGCTTGCTGTAATTGTTTGTTGTGCCAATGTGCCGCAGCCCCACCTCAATTTTTTCACCAGCCGCCACTGACTAGACCGTCTCATTCTAGCATTTAATGCTGAGGAGGACTCAAGCCTACACGCCTCCGAAGTCTGAACGAAGAAGGACACAGCCTCAGTAGATGCAACCTTCCATTTGAGAAGCACCCAAACCTTGCGTCTCGTGTGGAATTGATGAATGAATGAATTTCAGAATTGTGGGTCAATTTGGAGGACACATGTGAAAATTTTTTGTTTTTAGTACTCTTCACCAACCCACACTACAAAAGAATCAAATAATCATAAACCCCAGTAAACCTTGAGAATATTAATTGTGACATTAGAATAAAATATATGGATATAATAATGTATGTATAAATCTAAGTTGAACAACAATCTCTTAATTTTATTTTCTAATTTGATTTAACATTTACATTACATTAAACATGGACATTACTTTCTTTAAAAAGGCATATTTCTGCTATTGTAGGCTCGTTTTGTAAATGTAAGCTAGGCCTATAAATTTAAATTGCAAACTGGCTGCTTAATGCAAATGTAATTGGCCACATTTACAAAATCAGATGATTATGTTCGCCCATCTATGTAAATGTGTCTTTATGTATAGAGACAAAAGAATGAGGTTAATCGCTGTCTGTCAGTTTATAGTGATCGTGTGCAAAGACTGATGAATGAATGGTACGCCAGAAAAACATCTTCAGCTTTTGGTTTTATTAATGTTCCGAAGATGCACAAATCCCTTCATTAGATTGGGATGTTCTCTTTTATTCTGGAGGGTAAGGGCATGTACCATTGGGCGTATTTTGCAGTATTAAACACGTATTTATACCGATTTCATCAGGCTCCGAAAATTCTTCAGAAAGAACACAAAGAATGGCCTTCTCAGCTGCCATAGCTGCAACTCTTGCGTCAACAGAACAGAGTTCAACGCATCACAGTTTCCGTTTAAAACACGTGTTGCACCGTTTTTGTCGGGACTGAACGCAGCCCTGGATTCAGTGAGAGCTGAGTAACAAATCACTTTCAGGAGAAACCCTGAACAAAGAGTCATCAAAGCTTTCGGACGCAGCTGCAGCGATCTTCTGAGGAGAGCTGAGCAGTTCACGGTGTTTCTCTTATTTAAACAACTGTAAAACACACTTTACACCGTATGTTTGCAACAATAAACGAGTTAGTTTATGTCTTGTTTTCATCGAAACTGTTTGTGTGTTTTCTGACTTCTAAAATACATTTAGAGCAGCAGCAGTGAGTAGGTCTATGTGAGGAAAACATGTAAAGTAAGAACTGAGCGATTTTATGTTTTCGATGTTTGCAGTGATAATGTTGCTGTTAGTCTCGTGATCTGTGAGGGCAATGAATACAAACCAATTTAAAGTAGTGCTGCTGCGATATTATTGATAATGTTATTTCTCATTTGAGATTTTTCTTTGGCAGATCAAATCTGTTTGCAAGATAAAGTTAGTTTTAAGTTCTATATTCCATGGGTAATAGAGTTGTTTAAGGGACCGTCTGCAAATTCCAGTGAAAAACCATAAACAATGCCCAATGACTCTTTCAAATGAATGATTTTACAAGGTTGTAGTAAATGCAAGCTGACTCACTGAAAGTGAGCTGCAACAACTGGAAAGTTAGTGTACTTGTATAAAGACGCGTGATTGAGGTAAATAGTTGAGTGAGTTTTCCA